CTCCCGGGTTGATGACTGTGATTCACAGTGACACAATTCCCTTTAGGGTATTTTCCTCCCATACCCAAGTTATTAAACGCAGACGCTTTATGGAGAACTTTAGTAGCAAGAAAAGTGTGTTTCTAGTCCATTTTCTGACACATTTTAACATCTTTGCCTTAGTACAAAGACGAAAACTACGTGAATTCAGGGAGAAACCAGTAAGAGGACTGAGCATCCTGACTTTATTTTTCAAAAGTGAATTTAAATATTGAGACTAGGAAGGGAGTGGTGATGAGTGCTGAGCAATGTGCGGAACAAAGGCTCAAGGCTGTCAGAATGGTTAAGTCAGGGGATCCACCATCCTCTTCAGATCACGTAGGAAATGAAAGGATGAACCCCAGTTATTTTATTATAATCAAGACATGCCTTGATTCTCGGAAATTACTTGAAGCTTAAGTTCTATCTGAACAGAATCTTAGGAAACATTTGGAAACGGATAAGTCCGCTGCACGCCTGACTCCAAGGAAGAAATGATCTTACTGACTCTCTCACCTGCATGCGAGTTTAGGAAGAAGCTATTTTAGAAAATGTAACTTCGAGGAAACAATGTAACAATCTCTTCTTTCTACTGCACCTGGAGTAATTATACATTTGCCACTTCTCCCTGGTTTTTTCAAAGTGTGTTTATTTTTGGCTCTCCTAAGGAGACTGTACATTCCTGAGAACCTAAGTTTAGATTGTTGCAAATGATGAAGAGGTTCCTTTCCAAATAGTAAGGTTCTTGCTTGGTGGCAGGATTACATTTTCCCAGCGAAATAATTATGAGAGTTATTTTAATTCCCAGGTCTGGCTACCAAAACAAAAACAGGCAAAACTAATGAACCCGGCTCTCCCTGAACTGTTACTAAGAACAGCAGTTGGAGTGTCCAGTGAACGTCCCCTAAACTGCCCTACATTCCGAACGGAGGGCGAAGGAAGGGGGCACTGTGTGCCCAGGAGACAGGCAGACCCCTAGCGAGAGGACTTGTGTCTTGATCCCAGTCCTGTGTGTGAAAGAGGCCATCCATGGGTAAATGCTGGCTTCTGCTTTCCCTGGTTTTTGCCCTCCAGGGCCCCTTCCTGGGAAGGTGGCCACCTGCCCGGCCGCCCGAGGCAGCAGGTTGGGTCTGGCTGGAGAGCTGACAAAGGAGGAGGCCCCACCCCAAACAATCCGACAGGAACTGGGGTTCGGCAGACATTGGTCTTCACATCCCCTTTGGTGATTCTCATGCATGGCCATCCTACTAGAGGGAGTTAGGACGTCTTTTCAGTTAGAATCAAATAAATGCAGACCAGGGTGTACACCCCAGCTGAGCCGTGTACTCATTTTGTTCCCCCGCTATCAGTTTATCCTCAGAGCTGACTTTCTCATCTCCCCAGGGGGACCCAGGGCCCATAGGCTTCCTGTGAACATCAGCTCAGGGGCTCAGGGCACCGACGCCCCAGTTATTTGGTTATTCCTGATATGAGCCAAGTACCTCCCCTCGGGCTGATCAGAGCTGCTGGCTCCCAGATGTAGGGAAAAGGCCAGCTGGTTTTGGGAAATGACACTAACTGGCAAGTGAATAGAAGCCCTGGAGGCTTGGGGCCGCTTCTCGGAGTGCGGTGGCTTCCCTGGGGGCTTGGTGGGAAGTCAGTGCTCAGGCTTCTCCTCCACCCGGGAAACCGCCGGGGGCCGCGAGCCTCACCTGGGCCTGCTGCTGCCTGCCAGGGGGAGCCAGTGCTGTGGGTGACGAGGCATCTGCCCGTGAGGACAGGTCAGCCCCGGTTCAGGCAGTGGGGCTGGTGGGAAGGTATTTAGACCCGGCGGACAGAGGTCGGAGCTGGGTCTCCTGGGGTCACCGCTGAGTCATGTCCTGCTTGTCACAGTTTCATTCCTGCTGCCATTTCTTACCCACCTACACTTTCTAAAACCCCCCCAGTTTGTCCTCTTTGATCATGCCTTTAGGAAAGATCCCCTGGACATGAGGTCTTGAGAGGTGGGGGAGAGGAGGGCTATCTCTCGGTGACAAGTTGTTCGTACGGTTTAAGCGTTTGGTGGCTAATTTCTCGATGACAGTGGCCGTAGAATCAAGTCCTAGGATCACGGAGTCTGTGGGAGGGGACCGTGAGGAGCCCGTTTATCCATCCAGTTGAGGCCTAAGGGTCAAGGCTGCTGGGCACACCTGACCTGGTCACGGAGATGCAGGTGTTAGCACACAGGTGCTGTCAAGCGCCACAGGTGTGAGCACAAGGGGGCGGGGCCGCCCTTCCCTTCCAGAAGACGAGGAGCCCGTGAGAGAAATGCTGGAAAATTTCCCTGGAGGTGTAGGAGCCCGCTCGGGGCGGGGTTGAGAGGGGGCGCTGGGGGGGCTCTGAGGCTCCTGGGGGGGCTGCCGGTCATGCAGTATAGAAACAGCATGAGGTTTAAGGACCAGCCTCCAGGTGGGACCGAGAGCAGGCAGGAAGAGTCCTGATGGTGGGAAGTCTCTCCCTGAGGAGTTTGGTTTTATGTGTACAGGCTCTGGGGACTCTAGGGAGGAACATGGGCTTGTTCGTAGTTTAGAGAGAGAAGTTGATGCCAGCACAGAAAACGTCTCCTGAAAAAAAATGTGAAGCTACAGCCACAACGCAGGCATGATGACAATGCAGCAGCATCATACCAGGCTTTCTGTGAGGGCTCGTGCGGCCGTCTCGGAAGAAGCAGGGCAGGGGAAGGAAGGACCCAGGGCATCTTTTACCTTCTCTGTAATTGTTTCTTTAAGACTCTATTTTTTAGAGCAGGTTTAGGTTCACAGCAAAATTGAGAGTAAAGTACAGAGATTCCCATACACCCCTGACCCCCCACATGCATAGTCTCCCCACTGTCAACATCCCCCATCAGATGGTAGATGAACCCACATTGACATGTCATCATCACCCAGAGTCCATAGTTGACATCAGGGTTCACTCGTGGTGTTGTACATCCTATGGGTTTGGACAAAGGTGTAATGACATGGATTCACCATGATAGTGTCACACAGTATTTTCTCTGCCCTAAAAATCCTCTGTTCTCCACCTATTCATCCCTCCCCCAATTCCTGATCTTTTTTTTTTTTTTTTTTCATGAGGAAGCTTGTTGCTGAGCTAACATCTGTGCCAATCTTCCTCTACTTTATATGCGGGATGCTGCTGCAGCGTGGCTCGATGAGCGGTGGGTAGGTCCGTGCCCAGGATCCGAACCCGATAACCGCGGGATGCTGAAGGAGAGCACGAGAACTTAACCACTATGCCACGGGCCCAGCCCCCGAACCACTGATCTTCTTACTGTCCAGTAAAAAGTACTGTACAGTTGTGCCTTTTCCAGAATCTGTAATTTTTTTAACAAGAAGAATATATTTATAAATTACTTGTATAATAACAAACAAAAGAGGAGCAGCTGTTTTACTCATTCTGGCCGTGGAGTGGATACTGTTAGAGGGAGGCTGCGGGATTCAGGGAATGTTGGGAGAAACGTCAGCATTACGGGCAGGAGCTGTCGAGGGTGTTAGCAGTATTCAGCTTCAGCGACAGGGAAGAAAGTCGTGCTGCTCAGCAAGAGAGAGAACACGGGGAAAGGAGGAGAAATGATGAGGGAAAAATAATTTATGCTTCTTCAAATAGTCAGTGAGGTTCTTGAGAGACGAGCACAATTAATCAGTAGGTCATTAAAATATATATAATACACATATATAATATACACAAATATATAATATACACATATATATGTATGTATGTCCACATGTACATAGGTGTTAGATATTAAACATGGATTTATTTCCAAGACGCATTCTCCCAAGCTTTGTCAGCTACGTGAACATTGTAGCCTTTCAAAACCGTCACCTTGCAAAGGCAACGGTCTTATTCTAGCATTTCAGGCCTGGCTCAACAAAATTTGAGAAATTTTTAACCATCTTATGAGTGGGTTTGCCATACAAATATGTACCCATGCCGTCTCCTGGTCGAGTGTGCTCCTGGAGCGACAGTGCCCTCCATTGTGTCTTCATTCCCCAGAAGTGTCACTTCGGGGTCCACGTTCTCCTGCATCTGTCCTCCTGACATTTGTTTCCAGAATTCAACGTTATGAAGGAGGCGGATTGGCACTGTCAGCTGTCCAGGAGCAGCCAGCCTGGACTCCCAGGCGCTGGTCATTCTGAGGCCCAGGACTGGTCATTTCCCAAAGGAACGGCCCTCATTCTCTGTCACTTCTCCCCTGATGGCCTTGGCGCATCAGCTAAGATGGTGATGCAGGATTGTGCAGATGTGAAATCTCGACCTGTTCCCTTAGGTCCAGACAGTGGTTCCATGCACAGATGGCTGCTCTAAGGTGGAGTATCCGTGGAAAGCCAAGTGGAGCATGACAGATTTATATAACATACGTTGCACAAAGCTGCTTTCGATGTCAAGTATAGTCCTCTGGGAAAGTGTGGAAAATGTCCTAGATTTATCTTGATTAGGTGTTATTTATAGTATACTGGTTTAATTTAATTTTTCTTTTCATAAAAGTGCATGACTTGTTTTGTGTTTAAGGCCATTGACTAAAATTTCTTTTTACACTGATAGCTGGTAGTGAAATAATCTATTTTTCATCTCCTCCTCAGTCAGAGACCAATGGTCCTTTTCAGCATTGTTTTCTTTGATTTTGGCTGTCTAGCCTCTATGTTGTTTTGCAAATGAATGGAGTTACTTACAGATTCATAGGGAATCAAGGGGGCTCGTATTTCCATATTCTAAACTAACAGCGCTCCTGGCTCTTGCATGATGATGTTCCTCACGGATGGAGCCACAAAATGCTGGACTCCCTGCTTTGTGTCTGTCGTTTCTCCCACCCCTGACACTAATCCTGGAGGGATGTGTTGTGCCCATTTCTCATGGAGGTACCTTCTGAGAGGTCAGGCGGGTTTGCCCACCATCGCAGTTAGATGGCAGCGCTAGAATCGCCACGGTCTGATAAGTAACTCCTGTCCCTGTTCTTTTCGCAGGTATGAACGCCGCTGTCCGTGCCGTCGTGCGCATGGGGATATACGTGGGGGCCAAAGTGTACTTTATCTATGAGGTCAGTGCTCGTCACACGTGTGTCTTCTCTGCTCTTGGGAATTCATGCCTCACACCTGCCCAAGGCACTCACACCTGCTCAGAGCTCTCATACCTGCTCAGAGCTCTCACACCTGCCTGGGACTCTTACACCTACCCAGGGCTCTCACACCTGCCCAGGGCTCTCACACCTGCCCAGGCATTCTCACACCTGCCCGGGCATTCACACCTGCTCAGAGCTCACACCTGCCCGGGGCTCTCACACCTGCCTAGGGCTCTCACAGCTTCCTGGGGCGCTCACACCTGCTTCGGGTTCTCACATCTGCTCAGAGCTCTCACACCTGCCCGGCTGCTGCTGACCACAGCCAAGAGGTTCCCAGGTGCCACGAGAGCCTCTCAGGGGGCAGGTTATGTCCGAGGTAGAGCTCCCTGGTGTAGATGCAGATCTGTGAGATTTGTGTTGGGGAGTGAGGGGAGAAAGGAGATGAGATGGGGCACAAAATGCCACTTTGATATCAACCTACTGGTCTTGTAGATTGATGATCTCAAACTGTTTGTATTTGTTTGTAGTTCTCATTCCTTGTGGAAGTTATATATTCATTTAAAATGGGGGCTGAATTTAAATAAACATTAAGATAGATGGGAGAAGGTGACCACTTTGAGCTTTTCATCATTAATGTAAAACCCAGACCAGCTCCCTAATATCTGTTTATGCGTTAACTTCAAAATGAAGAGTCTGAATTCAGACAGCAGAGATGGCCCATTGTCTCCTACCTTTGAGGTCCTGGCAACTTAGAAGTAAGTAGTGTTTGGAGGGAAGGCACCAATATACTTTGGACCACATGATTATTTCAAAAACTATTAGAAAAAAATAATGTGCATTTAGTCTTAAAATTTACAAAACATAATATAGCTTAAAAAATGGAAAGAAGAGAATGTTTTTTTAAATGGTTTAATTCCTCCAAAATCACTGTTTGTATTTTATTCTGATTCCTCCCAGTATTATGTTTGTGAAGGACCGGAAGGAAATATGTACATTGGTAACATTATAGCAAATGTATTTTGTATAGTATGTTTTCTACTGTTACAGTATGGCTGCTTTCCATTCCTTACATACCTTCCACAACTGTGGCTTTAAACGTCTACGTAATATTCCATCACATCGATGTCTCGTCATTTCCTTGACTCTTTACTCAATCATTGTGTTCCCATACCACCGGACTAGTTAGGTCTCTCCACATTTTCAAACTATCACAGCACAGCAAGACCTGTATTACTATTTGAAGCTATTCAATGCTTTGTATCATTACCGTGATCCCAAGACACGGCATTTGACACGGAGTCAAAAGGGAAGGTCATTATAATGGGTCTGGATGTGTCTTGCCAAAGTGATTTCTAAAACCCGTTCCAACCCACCCCCCACCCCCACGCTGAGCACAGAAGTGGCACCAGATCCCTCTGGTCCTGCGTGCAGCCCTCATCCGACTCCCTAGAGCTGGTTCAGGTCCCTGGGTCTGTTTATCGCTATGTCATTTTCTCCTTTTGTGAAGTGGCTCCTCGAAGTCTTTGCTCATTGGTCCGAATAACCATTGATTTATCAGTTGCTGGAAAGCTGTTTTTTCCTGTGTTTCGGTTTGCTTTTGTAAACTGTGGTTCTGGGGTTATCTGATTTGGGCATGGTTACACGATGGCTCTAATCAGAGCCTTTCCAGACTCCTGTTTCGTCATTTTCTATTTGGCGTTTTTAGGGTGAAATTGCCCTTGTGAATGTCCGTCCTGGGCCTGGGCCTGGGCCGGCGGCGTTCGCCGGCATGGAATGAGCGCATTAGACGCAGTGCACACTTGCGGCTCTGCCTCCTCCCCGCCTTTGATGCTGGAGTTTGCACACAGATGACTAAAAGTCTCCTTCTTCCTGCTGCTGAGGAGCGTGCATGCATGCACAGTTTCCTCTGCCTTTTAATTTCACTTTTGGGAGAGGTTTGCACTCTGTCTTAGAGCTTGAGGGGAGACACCACACCCTGCATGACAGCAGTTCCTAAGACGTGAACGTGGTTTTGAAAACCTTTGGGGGTCGGAGCGCCCTCAGGTCGGGTTTTCCTGTAATAATTAACAAAATGTTTTCAGGTTCGCTGAAGACGGATTCATTAGACTGTGGTTTCCAGCATGTTCCCTCAGGAGACCTTTTGGTTTCGCTGGCCCCCTGCGGTCCTCGTCGCCTCCCTGGTGATGTTGCAGGTGTGGGAGCTGGACTTGCGCCACTTGTCGTGATCTTCACGGTGGCCCTGCACTGCGGGGAGGGAAGGGAAGGAAGTCATTTCAGTTATTTCATAGTCAAGGAAACTGACTGTCCTCATGGTCAGTTCACTTTCTCCGTGCCCCTACTCGTCACTGGCAGGGCTGGGAAGAGAGCTCAGATCCCCCATCAAACCAGTGATGGGGTGGTCTCACCCCCAAGGACACCTGCCAATGTCTGGAGACAGTTGTCCCATTATGAGGGGTGGGAGGAGGCCAGGGATACTGCTCAGCATCCTACAACGCACAGGGCAGCCCCACAACAAGGCAGTATGGGCCCCAAGTGTCGGTAGTGCCAAGGCCGAGAAACCCTGCGTTAACCCAAGGGCCAAATCTGGAGTCTGCTGTGAATGTCATTAGTTGGGGAAGGGTGGGGGTGACGCTAGTAGCTTTGCGCGTTGAATCTGTGGATATTGAAACTGACATAGTAACTGGTCAGCGTTAAGTCGTCCTTCTCAGATTTGAGGGTTTTGCTGTGGATTTTTGTTTTTCGGGTTTTTTCATTGGTACCGTATTCTGTAGTTGTCTGTCTGTATTCTGGGGATATTTAGATGTATTCAGACCTATACGTACCAGACTTAGTTTCAAAACTAAGGAATTGGGATGGAATGCAGCAGGAGCCTAGAACATTCGGGCTTCCTGTGGAGGCATCTTGCCATTGGGCAGCCCGATTTCTCTCTACATTGTCAACTAGGAGACATGGGCCCCGCAGCCCACGTCCCTTGTGGGTAAGGAGGGTCTCACTCCTGATTCTTCACGTCCTCTCTGAAGGGGGGTGAGGGGAGGGTCGGCTGGTGTGAGCTCTGCTTCCCAATGCTTCCCTCGGTGGGCAGTGAGGAGACCTGAATCTGAACAGATGTCATGTCCTTTAGGGAAATTCTGCGGTCCCTCTGTCAGGAAGATGCCAAGGACAATCCTTGTTGGAACAGTGTCAGGACAATTCTGACTTTCCTAGTAACTGCTTTATTGGTAATTGGCACCTTTGATGGAGGGCATCTCAGGGCATGTAGCTGAACGCAGCGTTTATGGCTCGGCACTAGGAATGATTGGGACTTTGAAGTTCTTAGGTTCTGGAGGGGAATGGGAACAGCCTAGAGATGGATGGATTTGAAGTGAAATCCCTTGTCTGGAGATGATACGATGCTTCTCATGACAGCCCTCCCCCCCACCCAAAAAAAGGAGAGAAATTCTAGTGAATGGGGCTCGCTCTTTGTGTCCCTACAGAAGGGGGTCTTCAGCATCAGCCTCGCCTGGGGAGTCCCTTGAAACATCAGTTCTCGGCCCCGCAGGACTTTGCACTGGTAATAATCAGCATTATCTGACTGAATTGAGTCCGTTTGGGGTATCGTCATCTCTCCATTACAGATGTAATGACCCTGATCTGCAATTCTGAAACCCCCAAATCTCTAAAATCTGCCAGTTTTTTCCTAACTCATTTGGGCAACAAAGCCTGGGTGGGGCTATGTGTAATCCTTACTCACCAGCCTGGTGTGACTGTCCCTAAGATGGGGTGACTGTGCCAGCTTACATATGCTGTAACATCCATATTGCTTCTTAAAACCCCAGACCTTCTGAAGTCTGGCATATCTCTCACCCCAAGGGTTTGGGGAGGCTCTTGGGGACCTACATATGTAGCTGAGTGCCTGGGGAGAAATACGTTCCCCTTCTGATCCTGTTTCATCTTCTGACCAGGGAAAACATATCTGCCTTTTCTGCACTTGGAAGAGCTTTGAGCATGAACCAGTACGGGGGCTGCTGGACTGCTGGGCAGGGACCATCTTCGTTCCTTTGACTCCACTGGTTTTCACCAGGCACAGAATTCGAGTGCTCCACTGAATTCACTTCTCCATAGACCTTCTCAGACTGTAGACGTCCACCTGTTCCTTGGTCTGCTGTCTGGGTCATGCCCTGACCGACAGGGTTTCCTTCTTAACCACAGCACTATTGACATTGGCAGCTGGATGATTTGGGGTATGGGGTGGGGGCTGTCCTGTGCAGTATAGGATGTTTACAGCATCCCTGCCTCTGCCCACCAGAACCCAGGACCACCCCCTTCCCCACACAATGACAGTCCAAAATGTCTCCAAATGTTGGCAATTGCCCTGGCGGGCAAACTCACCATCATTGGGGACCACCGTCCTAGACTTCTTTGGGCTCCAATTTAGAAGACATTTAGTTTTATTTTTTAAAGCATCATTCAGTAATTTCTCCAACATGTCTGTCCATTTGTAGTTTCTAAGTCCACCTAGAGCGTTCAAGGTTGCCAACACACCAAAACAGTTAAACAGGTCAGTGTTAATTATTTACATAAAGGGTTTTTCGTTTTTTCTTTAGCAGGAAGTGTATTGATCGGAAAACACTGGCATTTCTGCTAGAAGTCTGGCACTGGATCTGTTCTGACTGGCTGCTCCAGGGACTGCTGGAAATCTGGGACAGGCTACGTGTGGCGCATGCTAAGCCCTTGGGCGCAATTCTGGGGAGGATGGGGCAGGGTGCAGTTTAACCCGTTCTTCCCACGTAGTGAGCCAATTGTTTTTGTTTTTCTTTTTCCTTTTAGGCTAAGGTTTTTCCTTAGAAACTCACAAGTGCCTTTAGCTCCTTGGAGATGGTGAGGGCAAGTACATTACATGCCTTTTGTAAAAGACTTTTGTCAGGGTGGAGCACCCCTGGGTTTAGGTGGATCAGAAACAGGGTGAGGAAAGTCACTAAGTTACCTGCTGCTCAATCTTG